ATCCCCAAATCCCGCTAAGCCCCTACAAGTCTCTAAAATCTTAGCATTCCCCGTGCATAATTCCCAGTATTACCTTCTTGAAAATCCCCTCCCTGGCGCACATACCCCTACTGAACCGGCTCGCCTGACCCCTGACCCTTGAAAATCCCCTCCCTGGCGCACATACCCCTACTGAACCGGCTCGCCTGAACCCTGACCCTTGAAAATCCTCTTCCTGGCGCACATACTCCTACTGAACCGGCTCACCTGACCCCTGACCCTTGAAAATCCTCTTCCTGGCGCACATACCCCTACTGGACCTGCTCGCCTGACCCCTGACCCTTGAAAATCCTCTTCCTGGCGCACATACCCCTACTGAACCGGCTCGCCTGACCCCTGACCCTTGAAAATCCTCTTCCTGGCGCACATACCCCTACTGGACCGGCTCGCCTAACCCCTGACCCTTGAAAATCCTCTTCCTGGCGCACATACCCCTACTGAACCGGCTCGCCTGACCCCTGACCCTTGAAAATCCTCTTCCTGGCGCACATACCCCTACTGAACCGGCTCGCCTGACCCCTGACCCTTGAAAATCCTCTTCCTGGCGCACATACCCCTACTGGACCGGCTCGCCTGACCCCTGACCCTTGAAAATCCTCTTCCTGGCGCACATACCCCTACTGAACCGGCTCGCCTGACCCCTGACCCTTGAAAATCCTCTTACTGGCGCACATACCCCTACTGGACTGGCTCGCCTGACCTCTGACCCTTGAAAATCCTCTTCCTGGCGCACATACCCCTACTGGACCGGCTCGCCTGACCTCTGACCCCGACCCTCACTAGCCGGGACAGTTGATAATGTGTCTATTATAAGCTATCCGGGCTCATGACCTCGTAGATAAATCATGTTTTAAAACACGTGACCTCTGTTCTAACTTTATTATATTTTAAGTCAACTTTTAAATTATAAGTCAATTTTTATCTTGTAAGTGACTCGTTTGTAAGTTAAAAATGTTCATGTCAGTAACGCGTCTGTAAGTAATTCGTCTGTAAGTAACGTATCTGTAACTCGTCTGTAACTTTTGTAAATAACTTGTTTCTTACTTTCCGTAGCCATGTAGAGTATAGTCTACTGTAGCCATGTAGAGTATAGTCTACTGTAGCCATGTAGAGCATAGTCTACTGTAACCATATACAGTGTTGTCTAATGTAGCCATACACAGTGTATTCTATCAGGTTCATCCCGGATGCAGGTTCGAATCCTCGTCACGGCCCTTGTGGATTTGTTCATTTACAGTGTATTCTACTTTAGCCATACAGTGTATTATACTGTAACTATGTACATTGTATCCTACTGTAGCCATCAACAGTGTATTCAACAAAATTGCCATCCACATTTACAGGGAAGTAAACACCCCATTCATGTGGAAAATACGGGTCTCGAACCGGGGGCCCCACTCATGTGTGGGTGCAGCACTATCGACTGGGCTATGAGCAGCCTTGATAAGGGAAGTTTTCAGAAGCAGCATCCTGCTGCATACTGAAAATTTTCAACTTTCCCTGAAAACTACTGAATCTCAGAGGGATGGCTGACCCATATCATATATTTATATGACATGGACCTTGGTCAGTAACTCCTCTGGGATCCGGGGTTCGAGATCCCCCGTACAGTCCAGGTGAATGGAGTGTATTCTACTGTAGTCATACAGTGTAGCCATGTACACTGAGCCTGCTGTAGTCATATTCAGTGTAGTCTACTGTAGTGATATACAATATAGCTTACTGTAGCCAAAAGTGGTTAAGGAACTAGGTACGCCATGGTGCATAGTGCTCCTGGTTGTCTGGGTTCGAATCCATCTGGATGTTGAGTTTTCAGTTGCATATTGGTTTGGGGAGCATTCAAGCTTGTTTGCTTATATTTATATGTATATGTATATATATATATATATATATATATATATATATATATATATATATATATATATATATATATATATATATATATATATATATGTGCTGCTTACACATATTCACTGTAGCCATATAATGTATAGCGTAGTGTAGCCATATATTATACAGTGTAACCTAGTGTAGCCATATACAATACATTGTAGATTACTGTAGCCTTATATGACATGAATTAGATGTTATTGAAGACAAAACACAGATGAAATTTACACAAGTTTCCCCTTACCTGTTGACAAAAGTTTTACGGTAAACTAAAGGTAAATCAAGGATAGTTTAGTGTACTCCCAGAGTATACTGTACCGGGTCGTCTTCACTCTTGTTGGAACAACCGAGGACGTCTTCAAGAGAAAATTGAATAGTTTTCTTCGCGAAGTGCCGGACCAACCGGGCTGTGGTGGGTATGTGGTCCTTCGAACCGCTCCAAGCAACGGCCTGGTGGACCAAGCTCTCACAAGTCAAGCCTGGCCTCGGGCCAGGCTTGGGGAGTAGAAGAACTCTCAGAACCCCATCCTGGTACAATGCAGGTACTCTGATACCATCACCTTGGAAGACCTTGCTTTTAAAGAACACAATAAAGTAACCGTCACAACTGCAAGAATAATGACAGGTTGGACAACAAGAACCTTTCAGACACGAGATTTTTTTGATCTGGAGAACGTGTAGAGATTTTTTTATTACACGAATAAACTAGGGGGGGCAGGCCAACAGTAGTCTGCCAGGTAGTTACTAGGGGGGGCAGTGGTAGTGGAGCCTCAGGGTGGTAGTGGAGCCTCAGGGTGGTAGTGGAGCCTCAGGGTGGTAGTGGAGCCTCAGGTGGTAGTGGAGCCTCAGGGTGGTAGTGGAGCCTCAGGTGGTAGTGGAGCCTCAGGGTGGTAGTGGAGCCTCAGGTGGTAGTGGACCCTCTGTGTGGTAGTGGAGCCTCAGGTAGTAGTGGAGCCTCAGGTGGTAGTGGACCCTCTGTGTGGTAGTGGAGCCTCAGGTGGCAGTGGAGTCTCAGGGTGGTAGTGGAGCCTCAGGTGGTAGTGGAGCCTCTGTGGTAGTGGAGCCTCAGGTGGTAGTGGAGCCTCAGGGTGGTAGTGGAGCCTCAGGTGGTAGTGGAGCCTCAGGTGGTAGTGGAGCCTCTGTGTGGTAGAGGAGCCTCAGGGTGGTAGGGGAGCCTCAGGGTGGTAGTGGAGCCTCAGGGTGGTAGGGGAGCCTCAGGGTGGTAGTGGAGCCTCAGGTGGTAGTGGAGCCTCAGGGTGGTAGTGGAGCCTCAGGTGGCAGTGGAGCCTCAGGATGGCAGTGGAGCCTCAGGTGGTACTGGAACCTCAGGTGGTAGTGGAGCCTCTGTGGTAGTGGAGCCTCAGGATGGCAGTGGATCCTCAGGTGGTAGTGGAACCTCAGGTGGTAGTGGAGCCTCAGGTGGTAGTGGAGCCTCAGGGTGGTAGTGGACCCTCTGTGTGGTAGTGGAACCTCAGGGTGGTAGGGGAGCCTCAGGGTGGTAGTGGAGCCTCAGGTGGTAGTGGAGCCTCTGTGTGGTAGTGGAGCCTCTGTGTGGTAGTGGAGCCTCTGTGTGGTAGTGGAGCCTCAGGTGGTAGTGGACCCTCAGGGTGGTAGTGGAGCCTCAGGTGGTAGTGGAGCCTCAGGTGGTAGTGGAGCCTCAGAGTGGTAGTGGAGCCTCAGGGTGGTAGGGGAGCCTCAGAGTGGTAGTGGAGCCTCAGAGTGGTAGTGGAGCCTCAGGGTGGTAGGGGAGCCTCAGAGTGGTAGTGGAGCCTCAGGGTGGTAGTGGAGCCTCAGAGTGGCAGTGGAGCCTCAGGGGTGACAGTGGAGCCTCAGGGGGGACAGTAGAGCCTCAGGGGTGACAGTGGAGCCTTAGGGGTGACAGTGGAGCCTCAGGGGTGACAGTAGAGCCTCAGGGGTGACAGAGGAGCCTCAGGGGTGACAGTGGAGCCTCAGGGGTGACAGTGGAGCCTCAGTGTGACAGTGGAGCCCCAGGGTGACAGTGGAGCCTCAGGGGTGACAGTGGAGCCTCAGCGTGACAGTGGAGCCCCAGGGTGACAGAGGAGCCTCAGGGTGGTAGTGGAGCCTCAGCGTGACAGTGGAGCCCCAGGGTGACAGTGGAGCCCCAGGGTGACAGTGGAGCCTCAGGGTGACAGTGGAGCCCCTAGGGAATCACGACACTAACCCTGATTTCTGTGGCCTCAGACCAACCAGGCATCAGGAGCCTTCTAAAAGCTTTTTCTGCTCCAAGGATTCCTCTTCCACAACCTCCTTTCCACCTCCTCTTCCTCCTGCTGCTCCTATCCACCTATTAGAATAGGTAGAGAGGGTCTGCCTATTTCAAGGTCGTTATATGTATCTAGTTTTAATGGAAATGAACAATTTCTTATACAAATGGGGACGTAGAATATTTTCACCGTTTTCTATGTCTTGGTCCTGATGGGTTAGCTGGGTTGATTGGGGTTGTAGGGCTCTGGTTAGGCTGTACAGTTGCTTTTATTACGGAGTGGCAAAGGGGGGGGGGGAACGGGGGAAAATGATTTAATACATTTTATTCAAATAAAAATACAATATATAAATTAAATTGTATTATTATTATACAAAAGTGAATCGTGTTTAATCTCTCAAAATTGTATAATTTTCGGTAGGCAGAAGTAGCAGTAGGAATGCAGTAGGCCTACTGCATTCTATTATACAGAATATACATTTTATAAATATATGACATACATATTTATACTGATGTTGTATACTGCATTAGCTTAGGACACTTCACCTAGTTTAGTCACCCCGTCATCATAAAAGAAAATAGGAGCGCTATTTCCCCATTTTCTATGATGTGTAGTTATGGTAAACTTAATAATACTGTAAGTATACATATTTCTGTGATGTGTAGTTATGGTAAACCTAATAATTCTGTAAGTATACATGTTTCTATGATCAGTAGTTATGGTAAACTTAATAATACTGTAAGTATACATGTTTCTGTGACCTGTGGTCACTGATACGTTGTAAACTCAATGGTATAGGGTGAATATATATGTAAACTAAACTGTCCTTTTGTGTGGGCGTCTCAGGGACATACGAGATCGGTCGGTGCTGCGGGTGTTTGAAGGGGAAGGCGTGAACGGCCAGGGCGGCGGCGCCTGGGACCACGACCAGTCCTACTTCAGTGAACCCGAGTTCGAGTCCGACTTCCAGCAGCAACACGTTCACAACAAGTCTAAGGTACGTGTAGCCTCGTGTCACCTCTTAAGGTAAACCTTGTCTTAATAGCCTTGTACACGCCAGTATTACGGTAAGTGTGGCCCTCCGCGGTATACACCTGCACTATACACCTGTGGTATACACCTGTAGTATACACCTGTGGTATACACCTGTGGTATACACCTGTGGTATACACCTGCGGACAGGCCGTCCATGAAGAACGGAACAATTAGTCTAGGAAATACTTTAGAGGAGTTTCTCCCCCAACGAAAACGGGATATAAATTAGAAATAATGAGAGTTGGATGTTTAAGAAATTTTGTTTTGTAAAATATAAAAGTTTGGGCTCTAAAAATACATGACCCGGGGGAAAAGAATGGTATTTAAGATTAAATATATATATATATATATATATATATATATATATATATATATATATATATATATATATATATATATATATATATGTCGTACCTAGTAGCCAGAACGCACTTCTCAGCCTACTATGCAAATCCCAATTTGCCTAGTAAGCCAAGTTTTCCTGAATTAATATATTTTCTCTATTTTTTTTCTTATGAAATGATAAAGCTACCCATTTCATTATGTATGATGTCAATTTTTTTTTATTAGAGTTAAAATTAACGTAGATATATGACCGAACCTAACCAACCCTACCTAACCTAACGTAACCTATCTTTATAGGTTAGGTTAGGTTAGGTAGCCGAAAAGTTAGGTTAGGTTAGGTTAGGTAGGTTAGGCAGTCGAAAAACAATTAATTCATGAAAACTTGGCTTATTAGGCAAATTGGGCCTTGCATATTAGGCTGAGAAGTGCGTTCTGGCTACTAGGTACGACATATATATATATATATATATATATATATATATATATATATATATATATATATATATATGTCGTACCTAGTAGCCAGAACTCACTTCTCGGCCTACTATTCAAGGCCCGATTTGCCTAATAAGCCAAGCTTTCCTGAATTAATATATTTTCTCTAATTTTTTTCTTATGAAATGATAAAGCTACCCATTTCATTATGTATGATGTCAATTTTTTTTTATTAGAGTTAAAATTAACGTAGATATATGACCGAACCTAACCAACCCTACCTAACCTAACGTAACCTATCTTTATAGGTTAGGTTAGGTTACGTAGCGGAAAAAGTTAGGTTAGGTGAGGTTAGGTAGGTTAGGTTGCCGAAAAACAATTAATTCATGAAAACTTGGCTTATTAGGCAAAATGGGGCTTGCATAGTAGGCTGAGAAGTGCGTTCTGGCTACTAGGTACGACATATATATATATATATATATATATATATATATATATATATATATATATATATATATATATATATATATATATATATATATATATATATATATTGGTGTATACTGGCAGCAGGTTTTCTTTCAAACATGTTTCATTGAATATGACCGCATATTCTGTATTTATTATTTTCTGGTTTAGGGCTTCTATCCCTCTAACTATTTTCTTAGCATCAGGGCTTAATTGAAATAGGAGTTCTCCAAAACTCATTTTCGTACTTTTAAGGTGAAGAAAAGAAGTGATTTACTATAGAGTGTATTACACTATTTGTATAATTTGCACGACGTTTCGAACCTCCATGGTTCATTCTCAAGTGAACAGATCTTACAATACTAGTTGATTTTATACCCGCATTAGGTCAGGTGATAATACAATGAAGGTGAAAACATGGGGGGATACATAAGGGATAAACATAGAGGCTGCAGAAGGCTTATTGGCCCATACGAGGCATCTCCTATCTAAACACAAAGATTAATCCAGTGTAATTGGCCTGTTATGTTGGACATTGTCTTCTGTGTTGGCATCGATATGTTCTTGTCTTGTCCTTACTCTCATGGTGGGTAGAGTAAATAGTTCCGTGATTTGGGTGTTCATGGTAGGTCGCTCTATTCTTATGTGAATTGCCTCAAGAATTTGTAATCTTCTTGAATCTTGGGTTTTGTCTATTATGCAAGTATTCTTGTTCAACATTTCTCTTGTTAGAGTAATGTCATGGGCATGTCTCATGTGATTCCTAGGGGCACCAGATTGAAGATGGCATGTCAAACGCCTCGTCAGCTTGGTCGACGTCATACCTATGTACTTACATTGAAGGTTACATCCTTCGTGGGGGCAAGTGTACATGTATACAACGCTTGACTGCTCTAGAGGGTTCTCCGTCGGCTTCGGGCTGTTTTTGATATATATATATATATATATATATATATATATATATATATATATATATATATATATATATATATATATATATATATATATATATATATATGTCGTACCTAATAGCCAGAACGCACTTCTCAGCCTACTATGCAAGGTCCGATTTGCCTAATAAGCCAAGTTTTCATGAATTAATGTTTTTTTCGACTACCTAACCTACCTAACCTACCTAACCTAACCTAACCTAGCTTTTTCGGCTACCTAACCTAACCTAACCTATAAAGATAGGTTAGGTTAGGTTAGGTAGGGTTGGTTAGGTTCGGTCATATATCTACGTTAATTTTAATTCCAATAAAAAAAAATTGACCTCATACATAATGAAATGGGTAGCTTTATCATTTCAAAAGAAAAAAATTTGAGAAAATATATTAATTCAGGAAAACTTGGCTTATTAGGCAAATCGGGCCTTGCATATTAGGCCGTGAAGTGCGTTCTGGCTACTAGGTACGACATATATATATATATATATATATATATATATATATATATATATATATATATATATATATATATAACTGAAACCTACCAAACTGCTAGACTTTCTCTAGCTTCGTCTCGTGTATTACTAGAAGGGTACACAATAACTAGATACCACGGGCGGAATATGCAACGGTAGCGAATACTCGCCTATCCTTCAAGCCCCCTGATGAGGAAGCTTACTGGACATTGTACATCACGTATGTAAGACCAGGACTGCAGTATGCAGCCTCTGTGTGGTTTGGTTTGCAGGATCCATCCCTCCCTCTGTCTCAAGCATCTGCTTTTTACGATATCGTTTCCATTCTTTGACAACCCGTTTCAGATCTCGTGTCCTTGCATT